AGTGGGCCTCTGGGCCCCAGGATGGCGCTGTAGAGTCCTGTGATGTGGTCCGTCTTCGGGGCTCCCAGCCATGGATACAGCACCTGCTCTGGTGTAGGTGGCAGGGGAGTGAAGTGGACTCTGGGGCGTCCTTGGTTGTAGTGTTTTTCGTGCACTGGTTTTCTCAAATGCTGGTATGCTACAGTGAAGTTGTCACGTGGACAGACCTGGGACCTCTGGTCAGCCAGGATGTTGCAGGTGGTGGATTAGCTGTTTTCTCCTACCTTGGAGCAGATTTGTTCTGTTATGAGTTGCTGTAATGGCTTGCCTTGGTTGGCCCCCAGCAAGGAGGTGGCACTTTAAAGAGACCACCAGCTTCAATAGAAAGGGAATGTAATCTCTTCCTCCCTTGGCCAGGATGAGAATTCTGGTTTCTTGGGCAATGGGTGGGGCCCTGGAGCTCCTAAGAGCTGGTATCTTTTGTCTTTGGCTACCAGGGCCAGCAGAGAAAAACCATCAGGCTGGGGCAGGGTTAGGCAGGTTTGAGCTCCAACTCTCCTTGGGTGGGGCTCGCTGCAGCCACTGTGGAGGCTGGGGATGTGGTTCTCAGGCTGATGGAGTTCTGTTCCCAGGGGACTTAACGGGTGCCTCTGCTGTGTCTTACAGCTGGCCAGGGAAGTGGGGGAAAGCTGGCAGTGATAGGCCTCACCCAGCTCCCACGTAGCCAGCAAGGCCCGTCTCACTCCTGCTGTGCCCTGGCCACCAGCACAGAGTGTACATCCAGCAGCCTGCAGCAGGGCTGAGATCTTGCACCAGGCTACCAGCCTTCCTGCTGAGAAGACAAAGGAAGGAAGCAGGGCCCTAAGGCCTCACCCCTTGTTGAGATTCATTCAGGGTTGTTAGCAAAATATGAAGAGAAATATTAGGGAAAGTTGTAAGATGATAGTCTCAAACCTCCTTGGAAGGCTGAGGGGTTTGCATTACTTTCAGTAGAAGTTTTGGCTGAAGGCTGCCAGTTCTTAACTTAGAGCATTTGGTCATAAGGTGAAGATTAGGGATAATAAACGTTTCCCCAGTTAGGTCTGTTTACCCCACATTCCTTTGTCTCTACGCTGTTTACTCATGTGAACTTTGTGCCTGATGACCCTGGGGAGGTTGAAGGAGGGATTACCCTTAATGGGCCCCAGAACCAAAACCTTTTATCATTCACAAAACGGCTCTTTTAACCATGTTAATCATCCAAAAGCATGTTGACTTAGAGTGTCTGTTATTAAATATATACTGAATAAATTCGAGGAGGAACAAGGAGAAGGGGTCAGTTAACTGCAGTTGCCCTCTGAGAGCAGCTGACAACCCCCTAGCCTGACTCTTACACTGTACTTTGTGTGTGGGGGTGTATTTGTTCATCCATCGCCAATTCGGGGTCTGCAGGACAGACCTCCACGGGTGGCGATCAACATCTCAACCCCTCCCCACCTGCCTGCACCTTTGGCTGTGGCTTCTGGGCCTGTATCCATACTTCCTGTTTGCCCCTCCCCTTCCGGATTCTACTGGGGGGGGGGGGAAATTCATGCTCAGTCAAAATTACTACAGAGTTCAGCTGGGAGCTTGCTTTACCCTGCAGCCTCTCCCCAGTCCTGCTGACTGCTTTCCCTTCCTCAGGGACCCCTGTGAAATGAGCCCTGGCGACCAGGGTTCTTCTCACTGCTGCTTCTACTTTTGTGTTTCACTTGGCTCTCTAAATCCTTTTCAGCCCTAGGAAAGGTTAAATCCTTCCCCCAGTGAGGATGTGTGTTTCGAGGCAGGCTTTCCTCTCCTCACACTTTGGAAACTCAGTTTTTCAGCTGTCTTGCAGTGTTTCCTGAAAGGTACTTTTTTCAGAGGGTCTGAGGATTCTTTCCGTTTTCCTGGTATGTTCCTGTGGTGGTTCTTGCAGCAAAAGTTCATGATGTGATTCTCCACACTCCATTGTCTCTGTCCGTCCAAGTGGCCGCTGCATGTTAGTCCTGTCTCTTGTCTGCCATTTTCCTCCTTGTCAAGCCATTAAAGAGGTTTATTCTGAGACGAATGTGTGTGAGCAGGGCCCAGTGCATTCTCAAGAAATCGTGAGAGCTTGTGCCCCCACAGTTGTTTCTAATCATCCCCCGGCAGAGCCCTCGGATTTGCGGGCACGGCCAGACTCCAACACCTGTGCTCCTCTGTTTCCTCCTGGCTCCCCAAATGGCCTGAGTTTTCAAGACCCTCCTATCTGGGGGAGTTCCCTCTCTTAAGAGCATTTCAAGTCATTTTTGTTAGGTTTTATCCAGCAGTTCTCGAGAGGTTTTTTTTTTTTTTTTTTTTTTTTGAGACGGAGTTTTTGCTCTTGTTACCCAGGCTGGAGTACAATGGCGCGATCTCGGCTCACCGCAACCTCTGCCTCCTGGATTCAGGCAATTCTCCTGCCTTAGCCTCATGAGTAGCTGGGATTACAGGCATGTGCCACCATGCCCAGCTTATTTTGTGTATTTTTAGTAGAGACGGGGTTTCACCATGTTGACCAGGATGGTCTCGATCTCTTGACCTCATGATCCACCCGCCTCGGCTTCCCAAAGTGCTGGGATTACAGGCTTGAGCCACCGCGCCCGGCTTCTCGAGAGGTTTTAAGCGCATGCCTTTGAGTTTAAAACTGGACATTCAAAACTGGATGTTCCTATGTTTCCTTTTCCAATTAAAAGGGAAAACATAGCTGGGTGCAGTGGCTCACGCCTGTAATCCCAGCACTTTGGGAGGCCAAGGCAGGTGGATAACCTGAGCTCAGGAGTTTGAGACTAGCCAGGCCAATGTGGTGGAACCCCATCTCTACTAAAAAGATAAAAAATTTGCTGGGCATGGTGGTGCATGCCTGTAATCCCAGCTACTTGGGAGGCTGAGGCAGGAGAATCGCTTGAACCCGGGAGGCGGAGGCTGCCTTGAGCCGAGATTGCGCCACTGCACTCCACCCTGGGTGACAGAGCGAGACTCGTCTCAAGAATCATAAAATGAAAGAGAACACTTGATTTGAGGTTGGCCATGGAGTGGCTGTGAGGGGAGACAGGACAGGACTGTGGGGGTTGGGTGAGTTTCCATTTACAGAGGCAGAGAACAGAGTGTTGGAGGAGCCCCTGATATATATTTTTTAAGTTGAGATGGATTCTCACTCTGTTGTCCAGGCTGGAGTGCATTGGCATGATCTTGGCTCACTGTAGCCTCCACCTCCCGGGTTCAAGCAATTTTCCTGCCTCAGCCTCCTGAGTACCTGGGATTACAGGCGCAAGCCACCACGCCTGGCTAATTTTTGTATATTTTGTAGAGATGGGGTTTCACCATGTTGCCCAGGCTGTTCTTGCACTCCTGACCTCGTGATCTGCCCGCCTTGGCCCCCCAGAGTGCTGGGATTACATGCGTGAGCCACCGCGCCCAGCCCGAGCCCCTGACATTGAAGGGAGATGCTGTTGCACTGGTGCAGCATCTGCCCTGGAGATAAGTCCCTGCACAGCAGCCCCTGTGGAGCTCCCACGCCACCTTCTTTGTCTAGTTCCTCGGGGGGGCCTGTCTAGCCTTCACAGCTGTATCAAGCCTCTATCTCTCCATCCCTAGCCAGTCCCACAGTTTGGGCAGAAAAATTTAGTTTGGGTCATTTTTTAGTCTGAAATACTCTGCGAACAAGTGCGTCACCTGGAGCCCAGAGAGGTGCCTGGCTGTGCAGGGGAAGCCAGAGAACGGTCGCTTCCACAGGCAGGGGAGACATCCTAGGCGCTGGTCAGGGGGCAGGAGCCTGCAGGGAGGGCCAGAGTGACAGTGGGCTCAGGATCCATGCTGAGGGCCCCCTGCAGCTTTCCTCTTCCCTTTGGGTTATTGCTACTGAAAACGTTTCCAGAGGTGGGAATGTTGAGACACGGAAAGGCTTTCTGTAACTCAACCTACATCACCAAAAAACAGCTGCTGACTGCCGGGCGCGGTGGCTCAAGCCTGTAATCCCAGCACTTTGGGAGGCCGAGGCGGGTGGATCACGAGGTCGAGAGATCAAGACCATCCTGGTCAATATGGTGAAACCCCGTCTCTACTAAAAATACAAAAAACTAGCTGGGCGTGGTGGTGCGTGCCTGTAATCCCAGCTACTCGGGAGGCTGAGGCAGGAGAATTGCTTGAGCCCAGGAGGCGGAGGTTGCGGTGAGCCGAGATCGCGCCATTACACTCCAGCCTGGGTAACAAGAGCGAAACTCCGTCTCAAAAAAAAAAAAAAAAAAAAAAAAAAAAAAACAGCTGCTGACAAAAAAGTTGAAGCAACGGATTCTGACGTTGATAGTGCTTGGGTGTGTTTGTTTCCTCTGGCTGCGATGGCACTGAGGGTTCGTAATATACTTACCAACGTTTGATGATTTAGTGGCTACACAGAGATCTTTCAAGTTTGTGTTTCCGGATTGGGTTACCTTCATTGGTACCCGCTTTATCCAGGCATTTTATGCACATTTTCTCTCTGTAGGTGTCTTTCCCCTTTTCCTGAGAGCAGGTTATGTGTTCCCCCATGGCAGCACTGCTGTGGCTTGGAGGAGAGATCTCAGCTTGTGTTCCTAGGACCTTATTTATCTTTTTTTTTTTTTTTTTTTTTTTTTTGAGGCGAAGTCTCACGCTGTCGCCCAGGCTGGAGTGCAGTGGCCTCCAGGATACTCCATCGCTGTGGATTTATGGATCCTGAACACATGTAAATGGAACCTCACCGCGTGGGCCTTCTGTGTCTGCTCCTCCACTCGGCTCACGTCTTCAGAGCTGCTCTGTGTTGCAGCCTGAGTCAGGGCTTCATTCCTTCTTGGCTGAATGGCAGCCCACGTTTTGTTCAACCATTCGTCCATCAGTGGGCTTTTGGGTTGCTGCTGCTGTGGACAAGTGTGTATGGGATTTTGTGAGGATGTGAATTTTCAGCTCTTGGGCACATCACGATGGCTTCTTAGTGACTGTTTTCTCATGTGAATTCTGGATCACATCTTTTGCCTTTTTTCCCCCAGGAGTGTGAACAAGAATGTGAACTTGCCATTGCTGACATGGAGAGCTGGCGTGAAGATGAGGCTGGCCCGCAGCAGAGTCAGGTGACCTGGCGGGGCCCACACAGGCTCATAGCATGGGCCCCGTTACCCTACAGGGCACAGCAGGCTCCCGGTGGGTGGGACAGGTGCTGCCATCTCTCTCTGCCTTGTTTGTTTCCACATTCTGTGTGTGGGGCCACAGAAGGGCTGGTGGAGGGAACAGGCGTGGATGCCGGAGGTCAGGGGGCCTGGTCAGGTGCAGGCCACACGAGTGACACACTGACCTCAGGGCTGGCCACTCTCCCTATCAGCTGCGAAGCCCCCTCCAGATACAGTGCTGTTGTCCAGTGAGGGAATTTGGGGCGCTGGTGCTCAGAGCAGTGATGGGCTATGGGGACACTGGCGGAATTGCTGGTTGGCGTCTTGGTGTCATCTGGGTCTCTGTGTCCTGCTCTTGCCCCCAGGAGGTGTCTGCTGTGTCCCTCTCTGTGTCCTCCTGACCCTTACTCATTCTCATTCATGCGTCTCTGTCTCTTCACGTGCCCTGGTTCTGAGCATGGGCTGTCATCAGAGGCCTTCTTTCCACTGTAGGCGGTGCACGGCCTTGAACTGGAGGCGCTTCGCCTCAGCCTGAGCAACATGCACGCGGCGCAGCTGGAGCTGACGCAGGCCAACCTCCAGAAGGAGAAGGAGACGGCACTGACGGAGCTGCGGGAGATGCTCAACAGCCGGCGTGCCCAGGAGCTGGCCCTGCTGCAGAGCCGGCAGCAGCACGAGCTGGATCTCCTCCGGGAGCAGCATGCACGGGAGAAGGAGGAGGTGGCGCTCAGGTGTGGACAGGAAGCAGGTACTGCACAGGCTAGGTGGGCGCGGGTGACTTGTGGACTCGGTGTGGGCGTTCTTGTGCTTCTTCCCTCTTGGGCTTGGGAGCTAGGGCACCCTAGCACTGTCTCCCTGTCTCTGTTCTCAGCACCTCACCTGGCATCTGGCTCTGTGAGAGCCTGAACAAAGAGGTCCCTTGGGTTTTTGTGGCCAGGAGATTAGAGCGGGTTTTGAGATGAGACCCAGGCAGACCTTCACCTCCTCTCTTGGATTGTTCTGTGTGGCTGGAAGTCACGGTGGCCTCAGTTTGTTATTTAAGCCAGACGCCATCACAGACACGTTCTGCTAGCCCATGAGCGCTGCCACACGTCCAGTGGGTGCCAGAGCCTGGTCGTTTCCTGGGTGATCGGGTCACTGAAAAGGTTGAAATTGAGTGACCTGAGCTGCTTTTTGTTTTTCTTGCAGCCGAGCTGAAGGAGAAATTACAATCAGAAATGGAGAAAAACGCCCAGATAATAAAGGTACCCATGATCGATTGTAAAACGCACGTTTCCGTGTGGTGTTTTTCCTTTCTTGCCAGGTCCCACGAGAACGCTCCTTGCCTGGATTCAGACAGAAGCCAGTCGAGGCTTTATTAGAGTGTGCTGGATGAAAGTGTATTGCACTGTTTGTTTATGTCAGGCATCCTGAAACTTTTTACACAGGGGGCCAGTTCACTGTCCCTCAGACCGTTGGAGGTCCGCCACATACTGTGCTCCTCTCACTGACCACCAATGAAAGAGGTGCCCCTTCCTGAAGTGCGGTGGGGGGCCGGATAAATGGCCTCAGGGGGTCGCATGCGGCCCGCGGGCCGTAGTTTGGGGACACCTGGTTTATGTAGTCTGTATTTGTCAAAGAGCGTGTTTTGTGTTTTACATTGATTTGTATGACATAAAGGCGCTCATCTGCCCCTCCATGCTGGCTTCCGAGTGCCCCCCGTGGCCTGCCCCCGAGTGTGTTCTGGGACACAGCCTCTGCCCATGTGGACGTGGCAGTTAACTGCAGTGCATGGGGTGTGGGTGCTGGGGTGCTGGGGAGAATACCAAATGAGGAGGTTTCTGGTGGGGTGGGTTGCACCTGCTGCGGGTGGCCTCACTGGAGGACCGCAGGTAGTGCCACGTCATTGCCAGGCCCTTTGCCAGAGGGGTGAGCTGTTTGCAGTGCTGAGTGTGGAGGCCCTTCCTGAGCCAGGCGTCTGGGCAGCTCTCAGGCCATTGGCAGGCAGTGGATGTCGGTCCAGGCTTGGGGTTGTGTTCCGGTCACCTGCTCCTCTGACCCAGGCAGTGGGATTCATTTTTCAGAGCACCTGGGACAGAGACCAGCCCTTGGGTGAAGGTGGGCAAAGTTGCTGTTGATTCCTGGGTCTTGTAGGGAGATGCATTTCTAATGCTTTGGTGGTCACTGTGTAGATTATGCCGTGTGTGCAGAGGCCAGACTATTTTGGGGTAGGTGGTCCTGACTTTTCTCGGCTGCTTGCCTCCTGGATGCTTCTGCTTCTCTGTCCAGAGAGAGACTGGGTGTCAGGACTGTCAGGACAGTTTAGTTGGGGGCGATGACTCCCGTTCTTGTTTTTTGTTTTGTTTTGTTTTGTTTTGAGACAGGGTCTCCTGCCTCCCTAGGCTGGAGTGCAGTGGCATAATCATAGCTCACTGCAGCCTTGACCTCCTGGGCTCATTTGATCCTCCTGCCTCAGCCTCCCGAGTAGCTGGGACCATAGACACGTGCCACCACACCCAGTTAATTTTGCATTTTTTTGTAGAGATGGGGTCTCACTATGTTGCCCCGGCTGGTCTCAAATTCCTGGGCTCGGGTGATCTGCCCGCCCAGCCTCTCAAAGTACTGGGATTACAGGAATGAGCCACTTTGCCTGGCTTCCTCATGAGTTTTGACTGCGTGATTTAAATTTCTTTAGCACAGATAATCAACTATTGACTTTAATTTTTTTTTTAATTAGTCCCTGAAGGAAGATTGGGAATCTGAAAAAGATTTATGTTTAGAAAACCTACGCAAAGAATTGTCTGCAAAGCATCAGTCAGAAATGAAGGATTTACAAAACCAGTTTCAGAAAGAATTGGCAGAACAGAAAGTTGAGTTGGAGAAGATTTTTCAAGACAAAAAGCAGGCTGAATGTGAGTAATGAAACTGAGCAAGTGTGGAGTGGGACTGAGTTCTCCTGGTGATCTGGAAGGAGTGCTGTTCGTGTCACCGTGCGTGATGGAGCACACGCTTCCTGGGAGTGCCGTTCATGTCACCGTGCGTGGTGGAGCACACGCTTCCTGGGAGTGCCGTTCATGTCACCGTGTGTGATGGAGCACATGCTTCCTGGGAGTGCCGTTCATGTCACCGTGCGTGATGGAGCACACGCTTCCTGGGAGTGCCGTTCATGTCACCGTGCATGATGGAGCACATGCTTCCTGCTTTTGCTTTTTTTTTCTTTTTTTTCCTCTAACATGGATCATAGTAAACAACCAACCTGCCTTCGCTTCTAAATGCTGGATGGCTCCATACACATGTGACAGGCTGGTGGCCGTCATGGATCACGGGACTCTCCGGATCCTTAAACCTTCCTGATCTTTGTTTCAGAGATTTTCTTGGCATGCTCAGTTGCTAAATTATTACCAAAGCAGCTGCATTGTGCTGGTTCAGTTTCGAAACTCATGTGTGTTCCAGCATGACCCTCATGGTGATGTCCCTCATGGTGGGATGGCATGGGTAGGTGGTACACCATGTGCCCCACTGTGGTGTACCATCAGGTGTGTGAAACTCACACGAGGGGCCTGGGGGATGCGGGATGCCCAGGGCAGGGTCTTGGGTGGCAGTGCTCTGCATGCGCCGTTACTGTTACTGGAATCCCTGTCTTGTAAACCAAGTGAGGTTGCTTTACCATTCTAGGGGCCCTTAGGAACCTGGAGAGTCAACATCAAGCAGCCATTGAAAAGTTACGTGAAGACCTGCAGTCCGAGCATTGCCGGTATTTAGAAGACTTGGAGTTAAAGTTCAAAGAAAATGAAAAAGAAAAACAGCTGGAGGTGGGCAGCAGCTTAAGTTATTTCAATTACTAGGTATATTAAGGAGGTTTTAAAAGATTTTGGAATCAGGCTGTTTCACATTATGTTATTTGCTAAAACTTAAGTACTAAATTTAAAGAGACTGGCTGGGTGTGGTGGCTCATGCCTGTAATTCCAGCACTTTGCGGGAGGCCAAGGTGGGTGGATCACATGAGGTCAGGAGTTTGAAACCAGCCTGGCCAACACAGTGAAACCCCATCTCTCCTAAAAATACAAAAGTTAGCTGGGTGTGGTGGCAGGCACCTATAAACCCAGCTACTCAGAAGGCTGAGGCACAAGAATTGCTTGAACCCAGGAGGCGGAGGTTGCAGTAAGCTGAGATCGTGCCACTGCACTCCAGCCTGGGTGACAGAGCCAGACTCCATCTCAAAAACAAATAAAATAAAATGAAATAAATAAATTTAGAAAGACTGCCATTGGTGAATAAAAGTGTAAGAATGTAGTCTGTGAGACTGATTTAATAATTATGTTCAGTCTTACACTTAGAAATGCATATTCTTTACAGGTCTCCCTGAGACAATTACACAAATTTCAAACACTAGGTAGGTGTAAGGCCACATCCTCTGACCATAATCCAGTAAACCTGAGATTCCTGGGAAAAGTTAACCAAAACTTTTCTGCTGTTGTATATTCAAGATGCTTTTCTAATGAAACACTCTGTATCAAAATGTAGATGTGGCCAGGTCCTTGTAGGGGGCCTGACAAACCCAGGCCTTAGACCGAGTATCCCAATCATCAGTTCAGGAAATTAAAACATAAATCACAGATGGGGTTAGTCGTGGTGTGTGAAAGATTTACACACCTAAGAATATGGAAGTAGCTGGGGTCTAGGGTTTTGGGGAGGCCTGTCCAGGGCCCCTTATGTCTCCCAGCGGGACTCCGGTGCCCACATACCCTCCTCTCCTGCAGAGTGCTCAGGCCCGGCCTCGCTCCACACCCCAGTCTCTCCCTGGGCCCTTCCAGGCTTCTCCTCATGGATGGGAAAGGGGGCTGCTAGCACCTGCTGGTCCTGATGCCCACGATGGGGAAAGGTAGGAGGGGCTGTTTTCACAAAGAGGACAGGCCAACCCCAGGTGCAGCGTTGCCTAGGACCTCACGCCATGCTGGGCTGGGCTCTTGCTGATTGTACAGAGAAGTTTAGTGTCAAAGTGTAAGAGGTATCTGCTTCCTTAATTTAAAAGTATTGAAAGTAGAAGCCCCCTGTTTGGTAGTCGTGGGTACTATGGGCTAGTAAGACCCCCTAAATTTCATTTAGTGGTCTGTATGTGTGACCCCCAAACTGAAGCAGAGAGGTGCACACAGATGAAACCACACAGCTGCGGCCGTCATGGAACCTTCCCGGGCCCACTTCTCAGCTGAGACACGCAGACCTGGAAGGCGCTGTGATTCTGAAAGTGCTTGGCCTTGTGGAGTCAGCACTGATCCCGCTTGCCGCGGACAGAGCTCTCTTGGTCTCTGCTGTGGCCGGCTTTCCCTGAGCTGCAGGTTTGGGATGTGGACTTTGACCCTGAGGATCGAAGTGGCAGGGATAAAACCACACACCTCTCTGCTGGGGTGGGGGCCTTGAGCTTATTAGGTTCTCACCTGGGCGCGTTGCTTTTTTCCAGTTAGAGAATCTTCAGGCATCATATGAAGACCTGAAGGCCCAGTCACAAGAAGAGATCAGGCACCTGTGGTCCCAGCTTGGTTCTGCGAGGACCAGCAGACAGGAACTCAGTGGTAAGGAATTCTTTCAGATCCCTCAAAACCGAAGCTGTGTGTTTTTTATTGTTGTAACCCCAAGCTAGAATTTAACAGTTCTAGCAGGCACAGAAGAGCGGATTTACCTTTTGGCATCTTGAAGGTTGATGTGTATGGTTTGAAGATGGAGGTTTATTTGTGAGAGATAGCCCTGGTTTTATGCTAAGCCCAGTGCAGCAGTGACGTGCACCTGTGTGTCCCTAAAGGCGAGACCGACACTGGCAGAGGGTAGTGTCTTCACGTCTCCGGAAAGCTTTCCAGTGGTGCTGAGTGTTCACCTTGGCAAGGCCATTGAGTGTTGTCCAGGTGCGTTCGGGCTTACCCGGTGTCTGGGGTCACAGGGTGGTGCCTCACATCCTGTTGCCAGGCTCCTGTGGCCCCAGCTCTCCAGGTCTCCATGCCCCAGCAGCTGCAGCCACTTGCTGAGGGCAGCTCTGCTCCAGGTGCCCCCCTACGGCTGAGCACCTCTGGAGACCCCGACCCTAGGCCTCTGTTTCCATGTCACAGAGGTCTCTGTGCAGCTAGTGAGGATGGTGCCTGAGGGCAAGGGCTGGCCAAGCCCAATTCAGGCCCCGGCACCCAGGGCCACAGGACAGGAGGGTGAGCCACTGTGCGCCTCCTGAAGCTCAGGTTCAGGCAGAGCCTCTGGCCCAACTCTTCCTTGTGGGCGGTGGGATTTGGAGCAAAGAACACTTAGGAGAAAGAACCGGAGACTCCACCGCTGTTACTAGGGCACTAGGCCCTGGCTCCGCCTCCCAGCCCTGTGCCCTCTTGGGACCAGGTAGAGCTGGGTGTGTGTCAATTTGACTTTCCCTTGGGGTATGTCTGCCACTGGAGGCTGCAGAAGACAGAAGCTGAGGAGTCCACAGGCACGGCTGCTCTGCTCAGGCTCCGGCTCTGGCTTAGTACTCAGCTTGTCTCTGTCCTGCCTCTCAGGACCCATACGGAGAACCCTGATTTGCCACCTCTGTGGTAGTGAGCAGCTTCAGTGCCCATTGCTGGCTGTCAACCACTGTAGAGCAGGGGGTTGTAGTCTCCTGAACACAGTTAGCGATGGGGACAAGTTCTCTTTGGGTCCATGTTGCTTTTCTGTTGCTATGTAACAAATTATCGCAAACTTGGTGTAAAGGCAACACACATTTGTTAGCTTACAGAAAGTCCAAGGTGGTGCAGCTGGTCCACATCCAGGTGTCGGCCAGCGTGTACTGATCTGAGCCTGCTTCTGGGCTTGTTCAGGTTGGTCCAAATCCAGTTTCCTGGGGCTGCAGGACCATCGTCCATCTTTTGCTGGCTGTGGCCAACGTGCCCCTGCCACTTGGAGGGCTGCTCTTGCTCCCAGCCCTGTGGCTCTTGCCACTGCTTGGAGATAGCTGTCCACTTTCAGGGGCGTGTGAGAGTCTAAGCCATGGGGGTCCCTCGTCACTCTCAGGTTCTGGGATGGGCCCTTTCCTGAGTTCTGCCCCCACCACAGGTAACCAGGCTCTTGGCCTGTCGTCTGGCTTGTTGTGGGTGTCCCATGTTAAGATGATTGTATGATCCCGTCATGTTGCAGGGTTACACGAGCAGCTCCTGGCACGCGCCTCTCACGTGGAAGATTTGGAACAGCTGAAGCAAGGCTTTGAACAGCAGCAACAGCAAGCAAAAATCCAGCATGAGTCCGAACTGGAGCATCTGAGGATTTATTTTGAAAAGAAGTTAAGGGATGCTGAAAAAACTTACCAAGAAGACCTAACCCTGTTACAGCAGAGGCTGCAGGGGGCGAGGGAAGATGCTCTTCTTGATTCTGTGGAAGTCAGGTAAATAAAGCAGTTTCCAGCTTTAGTATGTTCCTGCAATACAGGTGCCATGCTCCGAGTTCAGGTGTAGTTTTGGTGATTTCAGGCCAGTGGACACCAATGGCCTTTCATACAAACACATTTTATGGTCAAGACTGAAATGGTACAGGCACAAGCACCTGAGTGTGGCCTGCCCATGTGTGTGTCCATGAGTCAGTGGCGGGCACACTCTCATCCAGGTCTGCGTGTAGGTGTTGCTAGTGAGCACACTCTCATCCAGGCCTGTGTGTGTGTGGGTGTGTGTCATCCAGGCCTGTGTGTGTGTGTGTTGGTGGTGGGCGTGCTCTCGTCCAGGCCTGTGTGTGTGGGTGTGTGTGTGTGTGTGTGTGTGTGGTGGTCGAACTCTCATCCAGGCCTGTGTGTGTGAGTCGGTGGTGGGTGTGCCATCCAGACCTGTGTCTGTGTCTCTGTGTGTGTGTGTGTGTGTGTGTGTGTGTGTCGGTGGTGGGCGCACTCTCGTCTAGGCCTGTGTGTGTATGGGTGTGTGTGAGTCAGTGGTGGATGTGCCATCCAGGCCTGTGTGTGTGTGTGTGTGTGTGTGTGTGTGTGTGTGTGTGTATGTGTCGGTGGTGGGCGCACTCTCGTCCAGGCCTCTGTGTGTGTGTGTGTGTGTGTCTGTGTGTGTGTGTGTGTGTGTGTGTGTGTGTGGTGGGCGCGCTCTCGCCCAGGCCTGGGTGTGTGTGGGTGTGTGTGAGTTGGTGGTGGATGTGCTATCCAGGCGTGTGTGTGTGTGTGTGTGTGTGTGTCGGTGGTGGGCGCACTCTTGTCCAGGCCTCTGTGTGTGTGTGTGTGTGTGTGTGTGTGTGTGTGTGTTGGTGGTGGGCGTGCTCTCGCCCAGGCCTGGGTGTGTGTGGGTGTGTGTGTGTCGGTGGTGGATGTGCTATCCAGGCCTGTGTGTGTGTGTGTGTGTGTGTGTGTGTGTGTGTCGGTGGTGGGCGTGTCCAGGCCTGTGTGTGTGTGAGTCCGTGGTCGGTGCGCTCTCGTCCAGGCCTGTGCATGTGTGTGTGAGTTGTCGGCAGGCATGCTCTCGGCCAGGCCTGGGTGTCCCTGTGCTGTGTCCCTGGCTTTGCGGCTTCCATGGCTCCCTGCATGTAGGGGAAGTCCTTGAGTGGAAGCACGGGGTGGCACCTGTGAACAGTCAGTCCTGGGGAGAGAATGCAGTGCACATGGAAACGGGGCATGTGTGTAGAGTTTTTACAACTGTTTTCCCTTCAGTTCATCCGGCATGGGTTTCGAAGAGACACCTGAGACAGAAAGAAAAGATCACCTGGATAAACGCGAGCCTGAGCGACATAAGGTAATTGGCCGACCCTGAGAAGAGGGCAAGTCCCATGCTCTTTACCTTCCAGCCAGGCGTCTTCCACGTGATAGAGCCAGCGTTTCTGTTCTTCCGGGGGCTCGTCCATGGAAGGAAGGCTGCTTGCGTGTCTTGCGGATGCTGCCTGCCCCTGACTTCACTGCTGTTCTGGGGCGGGCCTCACCGAGCACTATTTGATAAGGAAAGGTGGTGGCCAGTGGAGCTGAAGCCCCTCCGTCAGCCCTGGGAGGCCTTGGCTGTGGGCAAGGCCACCTCCTCCCTGCAGTGGGCTGCATTTGTCAGACTTGACTGTGGCAGTTGGAAGGGTGTGAAATTGTGTCTTTGCTTTGAGTACGCACAGAACGCCTGCTGGCTTTTGTATTTCTTCCTTGAATTGCTTCCATGCTGCTACTTCTGTCACCTTTAACTCTCAGGGGAAGTGCTGTCCAAACAGAACTTCTGGGATGACAGAATGTTCTGGGTGTGTGCTGCCAGCGTGGGGCCCACCAGGACACATGGTGCTGTGGAGCACTTGCTGTGCGGCATGAGCCCGGCGTCAGGCTCCGGGGACACGCAGGGAGGAGGTGCAGGGGCAGTACCACGTGGCTTGTGTGGTGGAACCAGTAGAGGGGAACCCGGGGTCTCTGCGTGCAGCGGTCAGTAGCCTTCACACTGGAGTAGGGTCCCTGGGCTTGCTGGAGGCTGCAGGGTGGTCAGGCAGAGTGGCAGTGGGCCGTATGCCAGTTTGAGTTTCCTGCAAAACAAACCCCAAGACAGGATTTGTCGCACAAGAGGCTATGGGGGAAACGCCAGAGAAGGGCAAGGCCCAGCTGGAGCAGGCGGCCAGGGCCGCCCCACAAGTAGGCCTCGTCCCAGAGGGAGAGCCTGGGAAGGGGTGCAGTGCGCAGCCCCACCAGGCATCCCTGTATCGCCTGAGAGCCAACCCCTGCCTCCGGGCCTGAGTGATGTGGATACAGCTGTTAGAGAGCAATGGTCACAGGAGGCTGGCCTTGAGAAGAGAGCTCGGACCTGAGATGTGAGGCCACGGGGAGAAACGCGAGGGACACGTGCCCCACTGACACTGCTGCTCAGAGCATCGAGGAGAGGTCTGTGCAGTCCGGGGCGCTGTCCCCTGGAGAGCACCAGCTCCTCTCGGTGCCACCAGCACCTGTGTCATCAGGCGGCTTGGCTGAGAGACGGGTGTGGGCAGGAGAGCGTGTGAGCGCCCCTTTGGGCTGGCGGGGTTCACCAGAGCATGGCATGTGGTCTCATGAACCTGGTGAGGTTTGGGTTTTCTTTGTGCGTGGCGGGAAATGCCTTTGGGGGTTATAGCTGCGAGGGAGGTAGCTTGGCTCGCTAGCGTGCTTGTCCCACGTGGTTTCTCTGCAGGAGAGCCTGCTGTGTGTCCAGGTGGAGTTGGAAGAAAGCCACAGGCACCAGTTGGAAGCGCTGGAGTCAGCTCTCTGCATCCAGCACAAGCGGCATGTCTCAGACAGAAGCCATGCGGAGGCTGCCCCGTTGGGACAGGCGTGGCGTCAGAAGCCCTCTGAAGGGCACAGCCAAGGTGAGCCCCTCCTGCCCCGCTGTGGTGTCGGCAGATGCTGGTTGTGGGGGACAGTCTCGGGGAGCCCAGGTGCCTGGGTTGATCCCAGTCCTCCGTGAAGCACCGGGGTGCTCCAATCTCTTCTGCTGAGGATGGTAACTCGACAGTGTGTCCTGATGAGGGTTTGGCGTTGAAGGCGGGGTCGCTGGCTGGGCGGGAGAGCGTGTCCTGGACTGGTGCCTCAGCAGCGGAGGTCTGACCTGGGCGGGTACCCTGGGGGTCACGGGGATTGCTGGATGGACATGGTGACAACTGGCCTCTGGAGGGAGAATGAATGTCAGCTGGGCCCAGGGGAAGCTTTTTCAGGATCCTGCTCTGCCCTGGCAGGCCCAGTACCCCCAGCTCACATAGTCAGACCAGGGTTGTGGGATGTCCAGGCAGGGTACGGGGCACAGAGCTTTGAGGTCAGAAGGGGATGGAGAGGAAGCTGCAGTCATCCCAGAGGCGCGGTCCATGGCTCTGGACTGGCGCTGACAGGGTCTCCAGGAGAGGCAGGGAGCCTTGGCCCCTGGCATGGACGTGGTGATGGTGGCTGCCATCATGGTGAGGATGAGGGGTCCAGGCCTTGAGTCCCGCTGGGAGGCATGTGGTCCAACCCCACTCTGGGCTGTGGCCAAGTGGAGAGGAGCCTGACCCTCCTTCAAGCGGGAGCGGTACAACGGCGCCTGCACCTGGTCCTGACTCCTGTCTGTCCCGTACCACAGCTGTCCCCACAGGTGGCAGTGGGCTGTACCCCCACGGGCCTACCTTGAGGCACATGGCTGTTGCGTGCCACTGGTGCCTGGCCACCACCTGATGCTTTCTCCCTGTTTTCCTCTTCTGCAGAGGAAGAAATGGGCTGGTGGAGGTGGCGTGCCCAGGCACAGAGCAGCAGGGGGAGGGACTGAGATGGGACCCCTCGCAGGCCCCTGAGCTCAGGCCTTGTCCTTCTGGCTGCCTCAGAGACCCTGAGTCACACATGTGTGCCCACATCTGGTCCCAGGCATGAGGCTCACTCAGGAACTCATGGAGGGTTACTTGTTACACCTGAGCTGAAGGAGTAGCCTGGGCTGGCTGGGCAGCTGCTGTGTGGGCCCAGGACATCCTGTGACTCAGGATGGCGCTATGCTGGGGCAGCATGGAGGTCTCCCAAAAGGGAGGGGACACTTGAGAGAGTAGTGCCTACTTCCGTGACTGAGCACAGAACTTGAAAATCTACAGTGTCTGTGATCGGAAGCATTTATAGGTCACTGTGCAGCCTGTGGGCTCCCTCAAGGGCTGGTACTGGTGTGACTGTCTTCCCTGCTCCTTTTCCATGCAGAGCTCCCCTGGGTACATCTCCAGGACGGGGCCGTGGAGTCTGACACAGAGGTGGCAGCCAGAGACTTGGGTCTGGAAACAGAGCACAAGGTTAAACTTTCTCTTCTTCATACTGAGCTCAAAGAAGAAATTGAACTCCTAAAAATAGAAAATAGGAATTTGTATGAGAAGCTGCAGCATGAAATCCGTCTGAAGGAGGACTTGGAAAAGGTGAGTAGTGACTCCACAGCCTTGTGCCTCCCGCCCAAGTACTCGCTGTTTTACACTTGGAAGGCGTGTGTTCTCGCGTATGGAGGGCTACCCTGGGGACAGCCCAGTGCTGTACGTGCCTCACTTGTAAAGGCAACAATCCCATAAATTCTTGAAACTATTCCTGGCCATGCCAGTCGTGGGTGGTGGTTGGATAGAATCTCGTCAGGGTCAGCACAGGGGCAAAAGCGAAGTTCTGAGTGAAGGTTTCTTTTGTTTGTCTTGTTGTGAGGCGGAGTCTCATTCTGTTACCCAGGACGGAGTGTGGTGGCATGATCTCAGCTCACTGTAACCTGCTTCCCCATTTCAAGCGATCTCCTGAGGAGCTGGGATTACAAATGTGTGCCACCATGCCCAGCTAGTTTTCATAGTTTTTATAGAGTTGGATTTGCCTTGTTGGACAGGTTGGTCTCAAATGCCTGCCCTCACGTGATCTGCCCACCTTGGCCTCCCAGCCCACTGCGCCCAGCCCTGTGAGTCAGAATTTCTTAGGGAAACCGTCCAGGTGTCCTCAGAGGGCTCCGGGAGGAAGCACAAACCCGAGCTCAGGAAGCTGGCTTCTGATGCTCACCCCAAGTCTTAAACTGCATCCCCACTCCCCAGGCTCTTCCTGTGCTGTCTTGCACCCGTGGAAGAGGTGCCCTCTGACACCCTTGCTCACCCTTTGCAAGTGTGAAATCAGCGTCGTGCCGTCATAAGGGTTGACAAAGCAATGCGAAGCAGCCTCCACACAGCCTGATGGGCTTGGTTACAGCCAGGGCAGCTCAGGGTCCACCCCGGGCTGGAGCAGTGGCGTTAAAGGGAACCGAGATTGTCATGTCTCGTCACGTGTGTTCTGACTCCACCTCATGCTTGCCACCGTGTTTTCGTTTGCATTCGTGTCCTGCTCCTCCCGTCCCTCTGCTCCTCCCTGTGAATGTCTTTGGATTTTCATTCTCCATCAAGAGACAGCTTCATCGGAAGCTGTTACGACCCGCAAGTCTGGTCCCATGCTGTTTGTTAAACTCAGGTGTTGGCTAGGACTTCAGGCAAAATAGAGATGAGGGTGGAGCCCTGTGGGGAGCCCAGCATGGGCCAATAGTTCTATGCCGGCTGCATCCACAGCCACCAGCATGTGGCATTCTCTGGTACTGTTGGCTCAAGGCGGATTTGCCCAAGTGACTTTTTTTGTTTGTTTGTTTTTAGATGGAGTCTTGCTCTGTCACCCAGGCTGGAGTGCAGTGGCACAATCTTGGCTTACTGCAACCTCCGCCCCCTGGGTTTCAATGTTTCTCCTGCCTCAGCCTTCTGAGTAGCTGGTATTACAGGCACACACCACAACGCCCGGCTAATTTTTGTATTTTTAGTAGAGTTGGGATTTCATCATGTTGGCCAGGCTGGTCTCAAACTCCTGACCTCCTGATCTGCCCATCTCAGCCTCCCAAAGTCCTGGGATTACAGGTGTGAGCCACGGCCTCATCGTTTATCAATACAGTCATTCCAACCTCCATGTGCATTTTGTCTGATGTATTTTTTTAAATGCATTTTACTTTTTTTTTTTTTTTTTAGACGGAGTTTCGCTCTTGCTACCCAGGCTGGAGTGCAATGGCACGATCTCGGCTCACTGCAACCTCCGCCTCCCGGGTTCAGGCAATTCTCCTGCCTCAGCCTCCTGAGTAGCTGGGATTACAGGCACCCAACATCATGCCCAGCTAATTTTTTGTATTTTTGGTAGAGACGGGGTTTCACTATGTTGACCAGGATGGTCTCGATCTCTTGACCTCATGATCCACCTGCCTCAGCCTCCCAAAGTGCTGCGATTACAGGCGTGAGCCACCGCGCCCGGCCACCTTGTTTCTTAAGGAGTATTTTTGCTGCGTAAGAAAGTCTGAGGTGACAGGTTATTTCGTTCAGGATTTCAAGGTGTTTAAAACCCTTCTTTGCAAATGTTATGGTCTGTTTTTGTCTTGGTGTTGGTCTCCATTGATTGCATTTTGTCTTCAGCAGGATTCACGTTTTCTTGCTTATTTGTGTGTTAGCCATGTTTGGGTTGTATCCTGGACACCGTGAGTGATAGATTTGGAGACTCTGGGTTCTGGGTTCTGTCTTGCTCCTCCAAAGAGTGGTGGTTTTCTGTTGCAGCAGGCGGTTAACTCGGCTGACTTCAGACTCCATGCTCCCCTGCTGTGCTGGGCTGCGGCATGGTGTTAATTCAGCTTTTGTAGCTTTAGCCGGCTGGATTTTGGAATCTACCCCGTGAACATACGGTCGGGGTCAGCCTGGGGTTTGGGTGGTGTTCACTCTCAGGCGTTGCAGCTCTCTTTCCTCCCTCCCTTTTGAGTTCTTCTGGTCACACAAGAGGGATTATGGGATTTCTGAGTGGAGCACGGACAGATCCTACTCTTACTGAAAAGCCCGAAAAAGAGAAATGGCCGGGCGCGGTGGCTCACGCCTGTAATCCCAGCACTTTGGGAGGCTGAGGCGGGTGGATCACGAGTTCAAGAGACCGAGACCATCCTGGTCAACATGGTGAAACCTCGTCTCTACTAAAAATATAAAAAATTAGCTGGGCATGGTGGCGCATGCCTATAGTCCCAGCTACTCAGGAGGCTGAGGCAAGAGAATTGCCTGAACCCGGGAGGCGGAGGTTGCGGTGAGCCGAGATCGCGCCATTGCACTCCAGCCTGGGTAACAAGAGCGAAACTCCGTCTCAAAAAAAAAAAGAGAAGGAGAAATGGCCCAGTGCCGTTTCCTTCTTCTGAGTATGCAGCCCTCTCCATGGTCTGCCTGCCTGTGGTTTTCTCCACGGCCTTCAGAGTTTTTTACGTTTTATTCAGTTCATAGTCATTGTCTCTGGGGGGCTGGTCTGACGAGGTGCACAGGCATCACCAGATGTAGGACCCTAAACTTTAATAACTTACTTTAAAATAAGGAGTTGAGGTCAATCTTACATGCCTTTTTGAGGTTTCTTGTTTCTGATTGATGAGTTCAATAGTTTATTGACCTACTTTCTTCCTCTTTGAAAGTCAGGAAGTCAGGCACGGTGTCTCACGCCTGTAACAATCCCAGCACTTTGGGAGGCTGAGGCAGGCGGCTTGCTTGAGGCCAGGAGTTTGGGATCACCCTGGACAACATGCAAAACCTGTCTCTATAAATGATCGCTTGAGCCCAGGAGTTCAAGGCTGCATTGAGCTGTGATGGTGCCCCTGCACTCCAGCCTGGGCGGCAGAGCCAGACCCTGTGTCGAAAAACAAAAAGGAAAAGAAAAGATGAGACTATTATTCTTCATCCCCCTCTGCACAGGATCCTTTACCATGAACCTTGCAGTTCATCCACCCCTTGCTCCAGGTCTTTCTGTGTCCTGGCGTTGACCTTGTACAGACCGGCGGCATCACACCATCTACTGCTCTTGCCTCCTCGTGTCTGGTCCTGCTTGCCGCAGGTGGTCCACGCTTTCTGTGGGGTTGGCGTTCCCCTGTGGGAGGCCTGTGGCTGATCTGAGTCCTGCTGGTCTTGGTCGGAACAAAGAAGGCTTCTAGCCGCTGCCTTTGCTCGGCTGATGTGCAAGCCTTCAGCTTTGGTCACTGTCGAGGCCACGAGCTCCAGAAATAAAGAACAGCCAGTTTGCGGTGCCAGGATGTAGGAGGCATTTTATTTAGTTTTAGAATTTGTTCACTTGAGTTTTCTTCCATTCTCATCAACATGAGAATCATTCCCATTGCTGTGTGCAGTGTAACGGGTGTGTGTGCGGTGGACGTTCCCCATCTTCAGAGGTGGGTTTGGGTTGTCTCTTCCAGTCATCTTTTCTATTAGCTTCTTTCCTCTCAGATAAAATTCTTTCGTCTGTAGGTAAAGCACAGTTTAGTTGAAGACCACCAGAAAGAACTAAATAATGCTATGCAAAAGATTCAGCTGATGAAACAGGAATCCAAAAAAAAAGAAGTGGACTGGAAAGTTACAAGGGAGGAGCTACAGCAGGAAGCTGAGGAGAAATTAACATTGATGCTTCTTGAACTAAGAGAAAAGGCTGAATCTGAGAAACAGTCCATGGTAAACAAGTTTGAGCTTCGAGAAGCTGAAATGAGGCAGCTTCAGGACCAGCAGGCAGCCCAGATCCTGGATCTGGAGAGGTCCTTGACAGAGCAGCAGGGCCGCCTGCAGCAGCTGGAACAGGAGCTCATGGCAGACGAAGCCCTGCGCTGCAGCCGTTGTGGGCGGGAGCCACCCGCAGCCCAGGATGGGGAGCTTGCCGCACTCCGAGTGAAGGAGGACTGTGCCCTGCAGCTGATGCTGGCCCGGAGCAGGTGGGTTTGCTGTGGCACCATCCGCAGTCCCTGTGAGGCCACACACTGTGGAGGGTAAAGGGCAGCTCCTAGGAGGAGGGGCTGGGGGCTCCGCTGGGTGAAAAGGTCAGGAGGAGCTGGAACAAGCCGCCACCTCTGGTCCCCTCAAGGCTGCACTCCCTGGGTGGTGTTGGGGTGAGGCGGGCATCAGTCATCATCTCTGTTCTTTGCGTGTTTTGAGATTTGAACAGCAGAAGCTAAATCTCGTTTATAAGGTGTCATAAGGACATGCAGTTTATCCACTAAGTGTTTTTTGTTTTTTTTTTTTAACTTAAATAGGTGATTTTTAAAAATACACATTTTTTTCTGAAGCATGCATACTCGTCCCTAAAGTCTTTGAGGTTTAGAAAGTGACTGGGAGAGGCTTCCAGGCGCAGAGGTGCCCCTGCCTCTGTCCATCTGCTCTGTGTCACCAGCACCCTTTGGAGGCCTTGGCACTTTGCAGGACCCTCCCGCACCAGCCTATTTGGTCTCCTCATGGGAGCGGTCCTTCTGTTAGGACTCTCACTGCCTCTGTCTTTGGCCCTGAGTGCCGCCTGCACCTCAATTCACCTGACATGGGGTTCTCAGTTCTCGCCCCTTCCCGTGGGCCCCCATGGGGTTCTCAGGTCTCGCCCCTCCGCGTGGGCCCCCCTGGGCAGTGCCCTTTCCCTGTTGAGGAGCAGAGATCGCCTTGGGATTCTTGGTTGTGAGCTGACTCAGACGCCCTGGCGTGATAGGGTGTTGGTTGTGCCTGCCACGTGTGGCTCTGGTGGGATGTGTGTGTGCCGGCTCTTGCCAGAGGCATTGAGTCCTGCGTGTGGTCTGTGGCCTGGTGACTCCCATGGCTCTGGCCTTTGGCCTCTGGCCGCCTCTGGTTTCATGGGGCCTCTTCACTCTCCCACTTAGTATTTCTGGTGGTAGAGGGAGAAGGTGTAAGAGCAATTAAAATCCAGAACAGTTGAAGTGGTGTTCCTTGTAAGAAACTGACTTGGCTTTTGCAAGGTCGATGCTTCCTGGGTGCTTATTTACTTGTCCTGCGTTCACTTTGTTGCCGTAGGTTTTTAGAGGAACGTAAAGAGATCACCGAGAAATTCAGTGCAGAGCAAGATGCCTTCCTGCGGGAGGCTCAGGAGCAGCACGCCCGGGAGCTGCAGCTCCTCCAGGAGAAACACCAGCAGCGGCTTCTGTCGGTGACAGCAGAGCTCGAGGCCAGACACCAGGCCGCGCTGGCCGAGCTGACAGCCTCCTTAGAAAACAAGCAGGGGGCTCTGCTGGCTGCACGTGTGGCTGAACTGCAGACAAAACATGCTGCGGACCTCAGCGCTCTGGAGACCAGACATCTGTCAAGCCTGGATTCTTTGGAATCCTGTTACCTGTCTGAAATTCAGACCATCCGTGAGGAGCACAGGCGGGCCCTAGAGCTCTTACGAGCAGACTTTGAGGAGCAACTGCGGAAAAAGGACTCTCTTCACCGAACGATTTTGACTCAAGAGTTGGAGAAACTGAAGGAGAAACATGACAGGGAGCTGCAGTCTCTGCGGGACGACCTGCGAGCCCAAACAAGCCCGGAGCTCGCTAGGACTGTGGCCTACCAGCTGCAGGGAGCCCACCAGGTAAGGTGCCAGGGCCTGGCCCCAGTCCAGGGCAGCCTCTCCCCACCACCCGTGTGTTTCCACTGCGTGTCACATGTATGTGTGCGTGAGCATCTGTGCCTGTGCGGGTGTCTGTGTCACATGTATGTGTGCCTGAGCACCTGTGTGGGGTGTCTATCACATGTATGCGCACGTGAGTATCTGCATCTGTGTGGGTGTCCATGTCACATGTACGCACACGTGAGCATCCGTGTGTGCCTGTGTGGGTGTTTGTGTCACACATAGGCGTATGCGAGCGTCTGTGTGTGCCTGTGCGGGTATTTGTGTCACACGTATGCATGCATGAGTGCCTGTGTCTGGAGCCGATGATGCCGGTCAGTGCCTTGTCAGACATTTCTTCATATTCCAAATGATAAAGTAGGGAATTGAAGGCTTGGATAAACACAGGTGGACATGTTCCTACAAGCATGCCCAGGGAGGGCTTCCTCCTACCTGACTGTGGGTAACAGCATTGAGGCTCCAAAGCATGGGTTTATTGTTTGCTTTCACTCAGCTCTGTGTAAGAACAGAAGGCGAAAGGTGTCACCTTCTTTAACTGCTGTGAGGGTTTTATGTTATGTTTCAGGCTTTTTTTTGAGACAGTTTTGCTCTTGTCACCCAGGCTGGAGTGCAATGGCACAATCTCTGCTCACCGCAACCTCTGCCTCCTGGGTTCAAGCAATTCTCCTGCCTCAGCCTCCCAAGTAGCTGGAATTACAGGCATGTGCCACCACACCCAGCTAATTTTTTGTATTTTTAGTAGAGACAGAATTTCTCCACGTTGGCCAGGCTAGTCTTGAACTCCTGACCTCAGGTGATCTGCCCACCTCAGCCTCCCAAGTGCTGGGATTATAGGCGTGAGCCTCTGCATCTGGCTCAGGCTGTTTTGTGTGGTCTGAGCGTGGGATCTCGGGGGAAGTACTTACAGGCCCGTCCCTTCATGAGCGAGGCACAGCCAGTTGCCTGTCCGGGGCCCCTGTGTACTGTCCTCGTCCCCGCTGTGATGAGCGAGGTACAGCCAGTTGCCTGTCCAGGGCCCCCGTGTACTGTCCTCGTCCCCACTATCATGAGCGAGGTGCAGCCAGTTGCCTGCGTGAGGCCTCTGTGTACTGTTCTTGTCTTCACCAGGTGTCAGGGATGTGTTTTGTTGGTTTGATTCTTGTCTGATTTTTAAGAGACAGAGTCTCCTTATGTTACCCAGGCTAGTCTCGAGCTCCTGGGCCTAAGACATCCTCTTACCTTGGCCTCCCAGGTAGTTGGGATTACAGGCGTGAGCCACTGCTCCCACCTTGGCATGTGCCTCTTGAGAGAGGCTAGAGCCGTGTTGTCTTTCTGGACAAAATTTAGACAGGGGTTTGATGCTGTTGGGAACTGCCCCCCAGGTGTACCACAGTTCTCACATGCCAGCATCAGTTTCCTTCCAGTCCCAAGAAAGGAAACTGATACTGGCTTCTGAGGACTGTGATCACAAACAGGCAGGCAGGCAGCAGCCACAGGGTTGGGCCTCAGGCTCTGATAGGCTCTCGCCGTGTTTCCCAGGCTGGTCTCGAATTCATGGGCTCAAGTGATCCTCCCGCTTTGGCCTCCCCAAAGTGCTGGGATTACAGGCATGAGCCTTTGCACCTGGCCAGTATAGTTTCTTTCTCAGTTTTTTCAAACCTTGTGTGTCAGAATGTGCATAAGCACTTTGCCAAATTATGTCAGATGGAGTCAGACTGAGCAGTTGGAATCCCCCTTGGATTCCTGAGGTGGCCGTGGAAGGGCCTGGCTGGCGTCTCTGCCACCTGCTGTGGTCTCGGCTCTCTCCGCGTCCATGCGGGAGTGCATTTGAGCAGCAGGGTCTCCCCATCTGTGGACCCGTGCACCTGCACCACCAAGACGCCACCACCCTGGGTGGTGGCCCACATGATGTGCACGCACACACAGCACAGGTGCACATGCCTTCTGGCCCACATGATGTGCACGCACACACAGCACAGGGGCACATGCCTGCTGGCCTACATGTGTGCGCACACACACACACACACACACACACATACACAGCACAGGCGCACATGCCTGCTGGCCTACGTGATATGCACACACACACACACACACAGAGCACAGGCGCACATGCCTGCTGGCCTACGTGATGTGCACACAGACACACACACACACACAGCACAGGTGCACATGCCTGCTGGCCTACGTGATGTGTACACACACACAGCACAGGCGCACATGCCTGCTGGCCTACGTAATGTGCACACACGCACACACACACACAGCACAGGTGCACATGCCTTCTGGCCTATGTAATGTGCACACACACACACACACACACAGCACAGGTGCACATGCCTTCTGGCCTACGTGATGTGTGCACACACACAAACATACAGCACAGGCGCACATGCCTGCTGGCCTACGTGATGTGCACACAGACACACACACACACACAGCACAGGCGCACATGCCTGCTGGCCTACGTGATGTGCACACACAAACAGCACAGGTGCACATGCCTGCTTGCCTACATGTGTGCACACATACACACACAGCACAGACGCGCATGCCTGCTGGCCTGCATGATATGCACACACACAAAAAGCACAGGCGCACATGCCTGCTGGCCTACGTGATGTGCACACACACACACAGCACAGACGCGCATGCCTGCTGGCCTACGTGATGTGCACAAACACACACACACACACACACACACAGCACAGGTACGCATGCCTGCTGGCCTACGTGATGTGCACACACAAACAGCACAGGTACACATGCCTGCTGGCCTATGTGATGTGTGCACACACACACACACACAGCACAGACGCGCATGCCTGCTGGCCTACGTGATGTGCACACAGACACGCACAGACACACAGCACAGGCACGCATGCCTGCTGGCCTACGTGATGTGCACACACACACAAACAGCACAGGCACACATGCCTGCTTGCCTACATGTGTGCACACACACACACACAGCACAGACGCGCATGCCTACTGGCCTACATGATATGCACACACACACACAGCACAGGCGCACATGCCTGCTGGCCTACGTGATGTGCACACACACACACACACACACACACACACACAAAGCACAGGCGCACATGCCTGCTGGCCTATGTGATGTGTAGGCGCACACACAGACACACACACAGCACAGACGTGCATGCCTGCTGGCCTACGTGATATGCATGCGCGCGCGCACACACACACACACACAGCACAGGCACACATGCCTGCTGGCCTACGTGATGTGCACACACAGAGCACAGGTACACGTGCCTGCTGGCCTACGTGATGTGTACACACACACACACACACACACACACAGCACAGGCGCACATGCCTGCTGGCCCACGTGATGTGTACACACACACACACACACACACAGCACAGGCGCACATGCCTGCTGGCCTATGTGATGTGTGGGCGCACACACAGACACACACACACACAGCACAGACGCGCATGCCTGCTGGCCTACGTGATATGCATGCGCGCGCGCACACACACACACACAGCACAGGCACACATGCCTGCTGGCCTACGTGATGTGCACACACAGAGCACAGGTACACGTGCCTGCTGGCCTACGTGATGTGTACACACACACACACGTACAGCACAGGCGCACATGCCTGCTGGCCCACGTGATGTGTACACACACACACACGTACAGCACAGGCGCACATGCCTGCTGGCCCACGTGATGTGTACACACACACACACACACACACACACACAGCACAGGCGCACATGCCTGCTGGCCTACGTGATGTGTGGGCGCACACACAGACACACACACACACAGCACAGACGCGAATGCCTGCTGGCCTAGGTGATATGCGTGCGCGCGCACACACACACACACACACACACAGCACAGGTGCACATGTAATTCTGCATGTTCTGCAGGGTGGATGCCTGAGGTCGTCCTGCTTCTGTGTTCTGAGTCTGTGTGATTTTCTGGCTTTTCTGTGAGGGGAGGGTTAGAGTCTGTGTTTGGAGCACTTCACAAGTAATTGGTAATTTATTTGAAGCATCATGTGCAAATTTGAGGTGATTCTTTTTTGTTAACACTGTTCCAAGGGGGTTTTAAACAAGGACATACCAGTATCTCATTTCTAGCCACATAGTAAGGCCTTGCAGCTAACAGGTTTGCTCAGTGAAGAGGGACTGCTCCTGAGGATGAGTGACACAGCAACTGATTTTGAGGTTAGAACTGACCTGTTTGTTCCCATGGACGTCCCCAGAGTGAGAATCACAGGAGGTGACAGAGACGAAGGGAAGCACAGACATGAGAGTTCTCCCATGTGTAAAGGCCTGGCCTTGGCATTCTTGAGATCTGCTTCTTGGTCCCCACAGCCCTGGGGCCATCACTGGGGAGTCCTGTGTCCCTCAGGAAGGGCCCTGGAGGATTTTAGGTAGCAGGACCCCACAGTCCCACTTGTTCTCCTCACCAACGTTCTTGTCACTTCTGCCTCAGCTGAAAGGCAGGTCTGTGTGCCTGGCCGTGTGTGGCTCTTACAGGAAGTCCAGCCCCTCCACGTGTCTGTGGTTTGTCGGTGGGGTAGACGCCCGCTGCCCTCAGAGCGTGGCGTAGACTGGGATTTGTAGGACAGCTCTGGCCCCTCAGTCCTGAGGCTCGGCTCTTAGACCTGACCCTGCTGGGCAGCGTGTGGGTCTCTGTCTTCTGATCATGCCAAAGAAATTCTGTCCATTTCACCCGCATGTAGCACAAAGAGGTGTTCGTTTTCTGAAATCGTGTGCCACCTGTGTCCCTTGACCTAGGCCTTTTATTCTTCTAGGGTGACATTGTTGTTGTTTTGGAGAGAGGATCTTGCTCTGTTGCCCAGGTGGAAGGTAGTTATCTTTTTACTTTGCTCCTAAGGATGTGCCTGTCAGATACTCTTTTATGTGATTGTTTGGTGTAGCTGATTTCACAGAAGAAACCAATTGGGCTGTGGGGAGGTGGAATGTAC